GGGAAAGTATATATGGTGATGGAAAGCTGGGCTGAAGGGAATCGCCTACCCTGTGCGGTCGATCAAGCAATCGATCGAGCGGACGAATGCGTTTTCAAACACCCGGCTAATTGGACTTTTGCCTCAGAGTTGAGAGAGCAGTGTTTTCGGCGGCATTATCTGGCTACGTTGGCATAGTTTTTGTTAACACGTTTTTCGTGGTGAAGACTGTTGGAAGTTTGATTTTTCTTCGGCTGGGCTAGAATTCTTGCGGAGAAATGTCTGGGTGGTTAATTAGGAATAGCGAAAAAGGTGGAGATCGGAGAGTGTTCATTCACGGTGCTTTCTTGCCGGCGCGGATTTTTGGGGATTATCTAGAGCAATGCAAAGTGTCAAATTATTGACATACAAAATGAACAATGGTTTTATGCAAGTTATGAGTCATTTATTCACAGGGTCCATTAGGTGATCTGAAAGGTTAGCGTAAAGCGTTGATGAAGCAAGCAGTTATTGGCATTTCGGTCAAAGTAATGGACTCATCGTTACTGATTCAGCAGTCGTGCACCTCGAGAATTGCTATAAGTGAAGTAGGCAAAAAAAAGTAAATCCAATGTATTTCCGGTGAGTACAATGCAGATTAGCGCTAAGTCACGAAATGTAACTTGCATACTGCGTCAACTAATCGACTTTTAATTTGGGCTAGCGAGGGTATTGTAACAACGAAGTCGAGGACGGCATTGCATACTTGACATACACGAATGAAAAACAAATGTCTACGACACTCCAGACGCCTGTATTGTTCTGCTCATTTCAAGGAGTGGCCACTTATTTTGGTGTCACTATTAAATTACCGTGAAGAGCTGCACAGATGATTTTGCTTGTATAAATGCAAGATCGATATACTCAGGTCGCTTCGTTATCGCCGATACTTCTCACTGAAATCTCCCAATGGTTTCAGCCTCTGCTTTACAGAGGGTAGTGCAATTTAGCGACGTATTTAGTAGCCCGAGGTTGCGGTTGTCTGGTGCGGTAAGGTCGTGCTTCAACCATAACTGCCACGCTTGGGTTGAGTATCCGAATTGGGAGCAATCATGCGCATTCAGCATCTGTCTGAAAATAGTGGTGTCTAGTTGTCCGAACGCTTGTCGTAGCAAGCCGACATACTTGTTACCAGTTTACGATACTTTGGCGGATTGATTGGAATAACCTATGTTATCCTAAACAAGCACGCGAAGGCGGAGTTCGACGGATGGTCTCTGCAGTAGTTGCGTTCCTAGATTGTAGAAATAGTTACTCTGATGTGGAGTGAAGTGTATCTTGCATCTTTCCACTCAAGTACCATATTTATATCCCACTGCAACCTATTCTGATGGGCATCCACCGGAATCCGGTGCCATATCTTGGTATCGTCAACAAGCGGCAATAAATTGGACTCTAATTTCCGTGCAAGTTCATGGATGAATAACAAAAACATTCGTGGATCTAGAACTGAGCCCTGGTGCACACCAGACTCGACTGGGATGGGTTCAGATAAGGAATTCTGAACTCTGATCAATAATTGTCATACCAGGATGCAGTTAGTGATGCAGATCAAGAGAGGGTCACTGATTCCATTGTCTCAATGATCAAATGCGTTCGACAACTCCACTAGACCACATAAACTGTCATTCCAGCGTCAGCTGACTCGGTCCGACTTCCTCGTGCGAGTAATGGATTCGTTGTACCCCATCGCTGTCGACGAAAGCCGTGCTGCTCGGGAGCAATGACGTTACAGCTTTCTAGATTACACAGCAACGCATCGGTGGCAATGGATTACATATCCTGGGATAATACAGGGAGAAGTGTCTTTGCGGTTGTTTGAGGGCTCAGTCCTGCTTCCACCTTAGTGAATTGGAGTTATGGTTCCAAGCTGCTACATTGCAGGAATCTAATTCTGTTCTAAGCAGCGCTGAAAGAACTGGGCTGAAGGTTTCGCCAGTTGTCATGCTGCACCTCTCAGTGCCTCTGGGGAATGGTGTCGACATCTGGGGAGTTATTGTTGCGTAGAGATATCAAGTTCAGCAAAACCGCTTCGGAAGAAAACAAGATGTTGGTGATTTATAAGCAGTAAGGTAAAAGTCGGAAGCTAACCTGATGGTAAGACGCTCTGAACTGTTGGAGCATATTGCGCTGCAACGAGTTTGCTGCACTTATTGCTGTTCTAGTTGGACCATCAGTCGTCCGGAGCGGAGGAATTCCCTGGCTCAATTAACGCCGGCCGCTAACATACTTGCACAGCAGTTTGTGGTTAGCGATGAAACTTTTCGCCATATTCTGCTGCTGTGCGACTTTGTCCTCTCTGAGCCTTGGAGTGCAGTGATTACGATGGGCTACGTAAATGTCCCAATTAGCAGGCGTTGATGAGGAACTATACTCTCGCCAGACTGCATTGCACACAGTCATTCGTTTTCTAGTTCTGCTCCTTAAGAAAGAAAGGATTTTAGGAAGACTGGAAACACTTGTATTTGAGGAATATGTAACCAATTGATTGCATTTGCTGATGAAATTAAGTCAAGCGGCTTTCGGGTAGCCATCATCAAGGAACGACCAGATTGTGGCACTGACGAGCGTTGCTAAGCGGTCATAACACGTAACGGTGCGCACCAACTCAGTGTTCTGGTGGCGAAGTACCACATAGCATATGAAGTCGAAACTGATGAGTACGTGAACATTGCAACCCAAAGGGCATTCTATAATCAATATATCAATCATATTATCCATATTGATAAACACAAGCTCCAAGCAACTTGGTCTATTATCCGTTAGTATCTGGTTACAAACTTTTGCACAGCTGCATAAAGTGGTTTTCCGATTGTAGCATGAGGTCTTTTAACAGTATCCGTTGAAATCACCAATTATGAGGCTGCGGGTGTGCTTCCGTTTTAGACTGCATGTTTAAGTTGTCGAAAGTTGGCAGACCATTTCCGGTGTAAAGTTAGAGTGGCGGTACACCAAAGCTACAAAGCAGGTGAACCTGCCATGTAATTGTAGGCATCACTACAGAGAATCCGTGATTTGTACGTCTGAATCCCCAAAGGCTTTGCAATGTGGGTCGCTTCGACCATACAGAATTAACCCTCCTACTTTGCTAAGCCTGTCGTTTCGGATGAGTGACAAGCTCGGCAGCGAGCTTTCATCATTTGTTGCTGGTTCATGCCCTTGGTCGGCACATGATCAATCTCATTTGAACTGATTGTTAATCCACTTTTAGCACATTGGCCTTTCACTTATATGATTGTACAGGTCTGAAGATGAATCATCAAAGACAATGGTTTACCTTCGGTCTTTGGTTCTTGATAATGAAATGAAAATTTTCCAATTATTGAAGGTATTAAAATCGTCGCCGCCAACGTTCCAAAGCTTCGTTTGTTGGTTACTTCAGTTGCCCCACTCTGCGACCTCGCTGGTAATGAGCGCTGTAGTTGATACCTGGGTGAGCTGCCAAATGGTTAATGCTCAGTAAGCAAATAAGCATTTCTGTTATCTAAGTTAACCGGTTGTAAACAATTTTTTCATTTAGATTACACCCCATGGACTGTACACTCGGCCAAACGACCTGCATTTATTCCATTCTCTTATAATGCCTAGTGTTGGCGGACTTACTCTTAGTCAAAATTAGCCAGAACGCTACAGTTATTCTGTCTACTTTGTCCGATTAGCTATCAGATAAGCTGTCCAATTCAGCTGTTTTTCCGCATTTGCAATGTACTCGCCTCGATTGCACTTTGATTTCCTGCGCACACATGTTCAAGCTGCAAGCCGACTGGATAATACGTAAACGCCTTTTTTGTAATAAAAATGCTAATGACAGTGAGCAGGAGTAAATCAATCGTAGTGGTGGATAGGAAACGCCTAACTAAAGGATCGATTTTAAACTTTCATTGGCGGTCTTTGCACCTGCCTTTCGGTCAGTTTACGGTTCCTACGTACCCTTCGCTTTTTCAAGTCTGCTTGTATCCACGTGACTGGTCAGCGAATGGACATTAAGTTTGCAATGGATGTGACTTTGGATCACGCTAGACTCGCACCACTCGTTCTGGAACCGCTGACAAGTCAATACAGGTACACGCTGTTCACTACAATTGGCAAGCTGGTTCTTTCAGCCATCACAGACGTAGGGGTTGATTAAATGTCGAAGTTTGGGACAAACGCCTTGAGCAATACTTAGATAATTAATTTTGTAATGGGAGTACTTGGACTATAGACTTTCTAATTAAAGTACTTGTATGTTTTGAACCCTGAATCAATATACGTTCTGCGTAAACAGTAGGAGTCAGTGCCAGGTTATGTTAATACTCTCGATTTTCATAACTCTGATGTCGCCGGGTGCAAGAGGTTGTTGAACGAAGGGTTATTTCTACGCCCACATCTCATAGATAATATTAGAATGTTTACACTTTTGTTTTGCTTGTCGAAAACTTCACTGGCGCCAATTTCATTGCGAATTATACGTATGACAAGAGAAAGCTGCTTATGTCTTCGATGGAAGTATCACCGAAAAAGCTATCATAAATAAAATGAGCACAGTGATTATTCAGCGTGTGTAATATATCATCATTCCTTCGTTATAAACACACGGATCAAAATACATGGTCCTACTCTGCCTTAAAATTTCTCTATCACCAGTAATCTTGATAATTTCATGAGGATTTGCAACTTTATGCATAAGTTTCTTGCTGCAAACACACCCAAAACATGAGTAATAGATTATGTCCTAAATAAAATATCAGTGGGTGCGAGGGGTCTCAATTTTATCCACCAGATGGATGGTGTACTCCGGATTCCACAGATAATGCCTTTTAAATCTTTTTGTTTGATTTTTAATCCGAATTTGGTCACTTATATCAGTAATGCGACAACCTAATTTTATCTATGGGTTCTCTGGACCAACTAGAATAAGCTGTGTAAATTTGACTCATAAATTTACATCGAAGCAATTCGTATACAATTCAGTGTTTTACCTCTTACACCCTGTGCATCAGCATACACTTTAGGCGATTTGAGCTCTGTGGACAGCACTGGGAGTACGTCTCACCTCTATTCTGGTCTACGCACCGCCGCTGTAGAACGGAAACTCGCACGTGCATCCAAAAACAAGGGATCGAATGGGATAGGTTCCATACGATCCGGTGGAGGGCGCATCCGTGACAAGTTCCGTTCGAATGTGCACAAAGCCACACTTGTATCACAGCTCCATCTGTCACACCTACGCGGTAAATGGCCGTCGGGTGCTGCTGTAACTGGCTCGAAACATTTAGGTTTGGTGGACAATGTGGATGAGCTGGGTTTCAACATTCGTCACACAGTCGGTGGTGCTGGTGAAGGTTACTGCAACATGAATGTGATTCTGACAAGTTTGTGAGTACTTTTCAACTTACATGCTTCCAGTTTCTTTCCATTTAAAGCGAATTGACATTATATGTATTCCACTGCGGCCCTCTAAATGGCGGTTAAGATTCTGTTTTATACAGAAACACTGCATGATTACCCGTCTACCATGATTCATAGCATTTTGAAGTCGGCAATTTAGGCGTGCATTATTTTATCTCAAGAAGAATGTTTCCGAATCATAACTGAGAACCTACAATTATGACAGCGAACAATACGGCTAGCCTCTTAAACTTGAATGATGGTAACTATTTCCCAAACTACTGCACAATTTGGTTTGTGTACATGCAAATTTGACTACTAGACATTAATTTCACACGATTGGAAAGGTAGCCGTTTTTTATTTTTACGGAATAGTTCACAACATTTTAGTTCCGATATTTAACGTAAATTAAACGAGCTAGATATCCTCAGGGAGCTGTGTTACCGCAAATTTAGCTCCCTTGGTAGCTTATTTCCTTGAAATCTGTAGAAGAATACTGCGTAGGATAAATGATGTACTGCGATCAAAACCTAGTTTAACATGCCGTATGCACCCGACGAAATTTCTGAAATGGGTGCGTGTCGCTCAACACTTGTGTAATCGGTAGTTATGTGAGCATAAATCCAAACGTTCACATTATTTTATGCTTTTGCACCTGAGCTATAGCGTGACACCAGCGTTCCATGGGCCCACCTCGACGTGGTAGCGAAATCCAAGGTTATGAGATAATGGAATGTTTACAGTACTACGGTGCAACAATCATAGTTGAACAAATCAGAAACCCGGCCACTGCACGTCGAAATCAAATAGCACTTGACTGTTGTGGCGCATGGATGCCTACAAACAGTGCTTCATATCTGAGACAGTGATTATGAAGCACCTGTCGGGTGCTGTACAACTGACCATCCGTTGTTTTTGGAGTGACTGTTGCAACTGAAACGAATCCGTTGGTTGGTTCATGTTTCAAAAATGGCTGCAAATTGGCTGCCCCCTGAATAGCTTTAAATCAGCTTGGAACCGAATGCTAAACCATAACTTCGGTAATCTTCCAATGAAATAGGATTTACATTATATGGGATTATGCAGTTTCTCTCTTGGCACAATGTTGTTATATAATCCGGTTGCGCATTCAATTAGGGATGTTTTCATTGACGCGGACAAACGGGCTTCAATTATTTAACCGTACTGTCTATCTCAACGTGGACAGATGAATTTATATATAGACAGTGGGATATGCCATGCCTTAACGGAAGCAATGCGTATCTGCTTAGTCCTGACAAAACACCTACGTTCTTGCTGAAGGATGATATGCTCACTAGTGAACCATGGTAAACCCTTTTACTGAATTTATGATACACTTCTAGCTGGTGGTCATCAGCAGTCATACTAATTTTCATAATGGTCAAATCATGTCGGGTGAAATCACTAAGGTATGAGAACAATTTCAACTGTATACGTAGATATTCATTACACCAAGACTCAGCCAGGCAGCCAGCCCACGCCTAGTAAAACACTGTATGGTCCATTAATACATTCGGTAATTGCCAACAATGCGCATTCCATCCGGCCTTTGTAGGATTCGAACCCGCAACGCGACTGCTATCCGTCTGTCGTTTAGCTCACTGAGCTATTGGGAACGGAAACGACCGCCAAGTCTAGGTTACTAGATGTGATTTAGTGCTGCTAATCAACCACTGGCTTGCACGTTACAACTGTTTTGGGGACAGGATAGTGCCCTGAACCAGGGACGAACATGCCAAACCTAGCAGCCAATTAACCGAATTCATTTTAAACAGATTGATTTAATTGGCAATTACCAAGGCATACTACAGGGAGTTGTATCTTATAGACAGTAAGCAATGACCCCATTAGGAATATATGCACCAGACATCGCCTGGCTCTCACTGGTACTTTTAGAAATGTGCAAAATTAACCCTTCTAATTATCGAACAGTGTATCTTTCCTGCTTCTAGGGTATTTGCGTCGTAGATTCTGCGGACCCGGTATAACAGTGTCCACAGGAATCAGTGGTTACGTTGTTTGGAAGGGAACCGTGTAACATGCGAAGATTATTTAGTAGAGAATCACGATAGTTTTTCTAAAAGAAATGTTGCTCGAAGCTGGCTTTCCCGACTGCTTTGGTTAATCCAACCAAACAGCATACGAGTGACCACTTTTATGTCACCGTGCATGTAGATTACAAATCCACCGAGAGGTCAGTATTGTGGTGGTTGCTGTGCGCCTGCAAATGGTTGCTTTATGCTAACCATAAACTCCTCCGCTGTTGGGCCATCGAGTGAGACGAAGCTGTCTGTAAGATATGAGGTGATTGCTGCTCAGGAATGTGACCAGATGCAGAGCAGTTAAACAATTTCAAAGCAACCAAACTTGCTTGCAGCTGTAGGAATCAACATGGATTTTGAACTTACCGAACGTGCCGCTGTAATCTCTTATTAATTTCCCCAATAGGTTTAACAGGACAGCGTATAAGTGAAAAAGGTTGTTGAGGTTGCGAGTCGCATTCGGTTGATTGAATAAGTTGCATAGTAAACAACGAAGAGAACTAATCCAAGAGTGTTGACTAATATGCGCTTTTGCAAGAAAGGATTGTTCTTGCCACGTGTTGGTCACCTGCAACCAAATTATTTGTGGGAACGGTTTAAACGTGTGTGATGGGGATATCCTAACATTGAGATATATCTGGCTGTAGATCCGGTATCGATTCGCTCTATAAAACACATAGCAGCAACGGTAGTTAAGAATACAATTTGTAATTGTGTGTGTTAATTAATTGTGTTTTAGACCGTGGACCATTTATTAATGGAGACAAATGTGTTTAGGCGACTGAATAGGTATTGCTTGTACATCACCTTTCTTTTAATTCGCCTAGAGCTGAAGCAGCCATTATTGACATCAGCATTTTAGCCACTCAATTTGGTAGTATTTTCTCAGGGCGACCCTTCGCTTTTTCGCCACTTAGATGTGGGCTATTGGAGGGCGAGTTCCATTGTATCATAGCCAGTATGCTGGGCGTTTTGCTTATTAATCTCCCCCGTGATTTTGTGTTGTTATGCCTGACCAGCAATTATGGGGTCAGTTCTATACCATCAGTATATAGAGAGAACTTGTACTGCCGACTATTCTCGTAAGAAGAAATAAAGACATGTATCAGCTCTTTTCCGTAGTCCAGATGTGGTGCTTTTAGCCTACCTTTTGTTTAAATGCGCAAAAGGATCAAACGTGCAGACAACAACACGGAATTCCTAAACACTGCAACCTGATGTGCCCGTAATACGATAGGCGACTTAGCATGTGGTTCCGTATTGTTTCGAGTCAAATTTTACCTGTGTGCCACGACTATCAGATTTTATTAGGTTGCAGCTATTCTGTCTCATCTTCAGTAAATTGGTCCAGCAAAATCCTGCTCCGCTCATTTGGCAGCGTCATGATTCAGAGGCCAGCAATAATCACAACTGATGGTTTAGGTACCAGAGTATTGGCAGTAGCTAAAATGTGTAGACGTGATTAGGAAAACCAAATTGCATAACCCAAGTGACATTATTTGTATATTCACTAGACCTTAGCATACTTCATATTTCATTGTTTTTTTCTCAACAAGATCCTGTGGAGGCTGTGTTTAGTATTCGGCGCAACATAGAGCAGCATATCTTTGCCTTGAATAAACTTACAACCAAAATCAGTCGTAGTTGCATGATCTGAAAGTATTAGATGCATTAGACTTATCAAATTCATATGAGACATTTTAGGCCGGACAACTGGTAGCAGAATAAATCCCACTTGACAATGCTACTTTTGATGTTTGCATGATGAAAGAAGTCATTAGTCAGCATTCTAGGCAATCGATTACATCACAATATTGTCTCTACTCCGAGCATTAAAACGAGGTGACGATGGAATATAGATGTCGTAAAATCGAACATAATAAATTGACTATGTTCTTTGGTAGGCACTATCATGCAGACACTATCAGTTAATTCTACTGCCATATGTTGTTTGTGATGGAGGATTTTAGTCGGAGCGACCAGGTAGTTCCGTCAAGCGTAGCGGATAAACAGGAGCATGTGAAACACGAATATTTGTAGGCAGTAGGATTTCCATACGGTCTACGCAGCTTTGCCGATCGGCTAACAGGTGAGCAATTCAAACTGAGTATTTATAATAGAAAGAACGGAGGAAAATTAAGTACAATGTGCCACTGTTTCAAATGGCATCTGCTTTACGATATATGTCAAAACAATTTACGAGTGAACGATTTTCCCTGTCTACTGTGTTTACTTTGCTGAATTTGCTGGATTTTTCTTGAATTAACAAGTGGGCCAACGATTTCACTTATCAGGCACTAAAGTGCCTCAGGTAAACATTGTTCCGTGAATTTCTACTCTTTTATTGCTGGCATCCCTTTAGATGTGATCGGTAACCTCGTTATCCTTGAAGCAATTTGGTACCACTGCCTGAGTGCGATTGCACGTGCAGCTCCGATTCCAACTAAGCACACATTTTTGACGGAACTACCAGGATGTTGCACACAAGCGTTTAGCTGCATTTATGCTACGTAAAGCGCCTGCTTTCCAGTTGTAAGCGCCATTTTTATTTTCCCTAACGAGTAATCAACAACTCACTATGGGGACATTTGTTATGAACTGTTCAGTGAAGTGTTTAGTGGATAGAAGCGCTGTCCTTTCTGAATAACGATTTTGTCCGTTATCTTTTAGCCAAATACCTGGGACAAGTTTCTACAAATTTTCTGCATGTAAGTTTGCCAAAAAGCTAGGTATTTCTGCTAACCAGTCAACTTTCTCTTCTCTGAAACAAGTCGAAGACGAATCCGTGTGACTAAGTGTCTCAACATTGTCATCTGGATTGCTTTCAAACTGTGCACGCGAACTGTTTTGCGAAATTCGCTTTTGGTCTGCGTTTCAGACGTATACAAATTGATCTATTTTCTATGATCCGTGAAAATTTCAGA